AACTTTGACATTGTTGGTAATCATGATTCTACTTGACTACTTATTTCTGTTTCCTCTGTGATTTAGGGCTTGATGAGTGGAATCTTTAAAATTTAATTTACCTTGTATTTGAATAGATTTGTTCCTCTTTATCATCAAGTTAGCCTTGATTTTTCTACAACTGAGCAAAGATTACTTGTTCCCCTGCCTTCCTCACAATCATTGATGGATTTGCGTCAGTTATCCTGCTATTGTGTTACTTTGTGCCTTCAAAATCAACTGCCATATTCCAGTACTGCATTGGGCATTGTAGCTTCCATAATGATCACAAGCAAAAGCCATTGTAGTGCAGCGACTAGGCAAAAGAGTGGTGGTATCTAAGTTTATGGAAACTAATCTTTGAATTATGAATCTTCAACTTCTAGTATTCTCATGACTTTTATATCACCTTCTTTTGTTTATATTTTAATAGCAAGAGAGAGAATAGAACTCATATTTCAATGAGCTGCTGTTGCAACTGAACAGCTGGTATATTTTCAACTAAATATTTAATGCACATGATTGAAAAAAAAATTAAAATGATGCTATGAGTACATGTACACGAAAACACTGAGAGTCCAACCACCCCTAGCCACCACTCGGCCATATAATTTTATCAGGCACTTTTAGAATCAGGTTATTACTCTATCTACCTCAACATTACCTGTCTTACATTTATTTATCTCAGTTTGTATTTCTAATCTTAGAAACATTGTAAAAGACTAAAAAGTGGTTTGTTTTTTATTTATTTTCCCCCACCCCCAACTCTTTAATGTGGGCTCTACAGGACCAAAGAGATTAAAGTAGATTTTGTTTCAAGGTCCCCTCTGGATAGATTTGAACAAACAAACTTAGTCAAACTTAACTTTTTGCAAAATTTGCAAGGGTGTCTTTTGCAAATGTTAGTTAAAATTTCATATGTATTTCTAGATTTCAAAACTTTCAACTGTAGGTTATTCTTAATAAAGGAATATAGCTATTCTATACAAAGAAGGAACCATGGCAATGCAGTGTTTAAATGGTCATTTGCTAACCAAAAGGCTTGTGACCCAAATCTACCAGACTTTCCATGGGGAAAAAGACATGGCTGCTTGCTTCCATAAACACTGAAGCCCTGGAAACCTTATAATGTTCTACTTTGTCCTACAGGGTTGCAGTAAGTTGGAATACACTTGATGACAATGAGTTTTTTAGTTGACATTTTTAAGACATTCAACACACCTGCTATTACTTTTTGGTTATCTTATCTGATATTTTGCATTTGTAACAATAATAAAATACCTATTATCCTAAAAAAAAGACATCCTTGCTTTTTAGCATTTTAAAGGGGTCTTTGACAGCAGATTTCCCGAAAGCAATATGTACTTTCATTTCTTGTCTGTTATTTCCCTGAGTGTTAATTGTGGCTCCAGGTAAAAAGAAAATCTTGGCAGCTTTAATCTTTTTTCCTTTTATCATGGTGTTGAAGTGTAATTCATACTAATAGTTCTAGCTATGACCTGTTATTAAAAGGGTGGCTATGAGCTATAATTATGTAACAGAGTAGGACCGCCCAGTATGGTTTCCTAGGCTGTAAACCTTGAGTTATGGTGTTGCTGACAATATTCAATATAGATTTACAGTCAAACAAATTGTCTTGAAAGAAGTAGAGATATAATGTTCTTTGGAAGAAGAATTGTAAGACTACTTCAAGTACTTTGGAATGCTATCAGGAGACAATAATCTCTGTATAAGGACTGCTTACAAAAATGTAGAGTAAGCAAGACAAAACAAAACCCAAAAAAACCCCAACTAACAACAAAAAAACCCAGAAAGGCTTTCAAGGAGGTGGGATTACACCATGATTGCTAACAATAGAAGTAAAATTTTAATGTAGAAAAATTTTGAATTTCTGCTTTTAACTTTTATTCTTGTTATTGTTTGGTGTCAACAAGTCAATTACAATTCAAAGTGGCATACAAACAACAGATCTTAACTTTATCTCATTCTGCACTATCCTTATTATCCCTGACACACTTGAATTCATTGCCACAGCTACTGTGAAAATCCATCTTATTGAGGAATAGCCTCTCCTAATAACATATCCAGAGGATATGAGACAAAGCTTCACCATCCTTGTCTCTAAGAAGAGAACTCTGGTTGTACTTTTCTCCAAAATATATGTTTGTTTTTTTGACAGTCCATGAGATACTCAGCACTCTTCTCCAACACCATAATTCAAGGCATTGATTCTTCTTCTGTTATCTTTATTCATTGTTCAGCTCTCAGATGCATGGCAGGTAATTAAAAAAGCCATGGCTTGAATCAGATGCACTTTAGTCTTTATAAAAAACATCATTGCTCTTCAGGACTTTGGAGAGGTCGCTGACAACAGATTTTCTCAATGCTTTATCAACACCACCTGATCTCCTGACCGCTGGTACTAAGGGTCTTAATTGTGGATCCAAGTAAGACGAAATAGATGACAACTTCAATCTTTTCTCCATCTACCATGATGTTGCCTATTGACTGAATAGTGAAGATTTTTTATTTCTTGCTGTTGAGATGAAGGCTATAGTCCACACTTTCAGGAAGCAAAGTTGTGTCATCGGCATAATGCAAGTTGTTGATGAGTTGTTCCTCCAATTCTGATGCCACATTCTTTTTCATAAAGTCCAGTTTCTTGAATGATATGTTTAGTATATAGTTTGTATAAATACAGCCTTGACACACGTCTTTCTTGCTTTTTAAAATATGCTGAATTCCCTTGCTCTATTTGGACAACAGGTCTAGGTTTTGTATAAACATAATTAAATATTCTGGGTTTTTCATTCTTCTCAATGTTAGTAAATAACTTGTGATCTACGCAGTCAATAAAATATAAATAGGTAGCCCTCTGGTATTCTCTGCTTTCAGCCAAAATCCATGTGACATCAACAATGATGTCTCTGGTGCCACCACTTCTTCTTCTAAATCCAACTTGAATTTTTGCAGTTCTCTGTTGATGTGAGGTTCCAGCCAGTTTTCAATAATCTTCAGCAAGCTTTAAGTGCATGTGATAGTAATGCTATTTTTAAGTATTGCTTAATAACAACTATTTGACAAGGTGCTCTAGTGGCACCTGGAGTCACTAGTTCATAGGGAGGTGTATGGCTAAGACCCTAAAGCTGCAGTTCTTGGGCAGTTCCAATCTACCAGCAGCTCCACGGAAGAAAGATGGACAATCTATTCCATTGCAGTTTTTGAAAACCTGCTGGAAGGTTCTGGTTCGATAATATGAATCTGAACAAATTGTTATATCTCCCTGCCAAAAAAGCTGAGTGATTGGCAGCACAGAGTCAGTTAGGTTCTTCTTATACCACAAATAGAGATTATTTTATGAACTGGCAACACAAGTGTACCCAGTTTGAACACACGAGCTGCTGCAAGGGAGAAAGGTGGACACTTTAATTTCTTGACTGACATCTTTGCCTTTCAGCACTCAAGAGAGATCTCTGACAGCATATTTCCTCAATGCAATTCATCTTTTGATTTCCTGACTGCTGGTACCAAGAGTGCTGCTTGTGGAACTGAGCAAGCTGAAATTGTTAACAATCTCAGTCTCTTCTCGATCTATCATGATGCTGCCAATTGGCCCAGTGGTGAGAATCTATCTTCTTGACGTTGAGCTTTAATTCATATTGCAAACTGCAGTCCTTGATTCTCTGTAGCAAATGCTTCCAGCCCTCCTCAGTTTCAGCAAATAATGTTATGTCATCTGTATAATGCAGGTTGTTGATGAGTCTACTTCCAATTCTGATGCCACATTCCTCCTGAAAAAGTCCAGCCTCTCCAATGATCTTTTCTGCTTAGACTGAAACGGTATGGAGACAGGACACATCCCTGATGCATTCCTTTTCTGATTTGGAACCATGCAGTGTTTCTTTACTCCGTTCTGCTAACAGTCTGTTGGTCCAAGTACAGGTTTTACACAATCAAGTGTTCTGGGAGTCTCATTCTCCTCAAGGTTAGACACAATTTGTTGTGATCAGCACAGTCAAATGCCTTTGCATAGTTGATGAAACAAAGATAGACCTATGCTCTGTTTTCAGCCTAGTAGTAGGAAACTATGTTGCAATCACAAAGGTATGCAGTTCGAATACACCAGGAGCTCCACTGGAGGACTAGGCAATCTCCTCCTGTGCACTTTACAGCCTCAGAGTCAGTTTCAACTCGATAGCATGACAAGATGAGTTTCCATTTCCACTGTCCCTCTAAAGCCTCCAAAATCTGATGAGGGGTCACTGTAATTCAAATTGAGTGGAGGTCAGTGGGTTTTAGGATTGGCTTCAGGTAGCCTGAGAAAACGAGAAATAAAAAGTAAATTTAATTTCAGTCGTTATAACATCATCACTTACAAAGTGGGGACATTTTCAATCCTTGTCAACTTAGTTTTTGCAAAGTTTAACTGTCATTCCATAATTATACGCAGCTCACTTTCTTTTTTTCTCCCCGTCCTGCAACCATTTCCTTTTACTAGTTGTTTTTTTCTTATTGAATCGGGCTGCAAGTTCTGCTTCTGCGGCTTTTGAGAAGGCAAATCTCAGCTTCCTTATTCGTAAAATCCCAATAAGTACTTAACTTACCCCTCTCAAACTCATTGTCATTGGGATAGAACCAATTTACTACTGACTTTCCAGCTGGTTTTTGGAGAAAAATTGAGAAAAGGTTTGTCATATACATATGCTAATATTAACTAATGGCACCTGAGGTTTTTTTATTTGCGGTTTTATTTTTTTTCCTCCTCAGGAAACGACAGTAAAAGAGAAATAGCTTTCTATTTAAAGCACATCTTTACGTATACCGTCCTGATCCTCAGTCACCTTTGTTGCAAATTTGCTTTGAGTCTGCGCAGTAGCGATGTCTGATTGTTTTGTTTCCCCACGGCCAGTCGCCGCGCAATGATGACGCAAATTTCCTACACAGCAGCCTGATTTGGCGCATGTGCCGAGTGCTACGTTCCCCTTTCTCCAAGGTATTCGTTCCGTGTGCGGCCCCTGAATCCCTGTAGTATGAAGGAGACGCCGCTCTCAAACTGCGAGCGCCGCTTTCTGCTCCGCGCCATCCAAGAGAAGAAGGTAAGAAGCTCCTAGAAACTGCGGGCAGCGTGAGCATCCTGGTCACTCGGCCCACCTTAACTTTCCCGCCTAGACGCTTGTACCTGACTTTCGTTGGCCCGGTACCCTAAAGGGGAATGATTAGTGCCTTCTCCCCACCCTTACTGTTTTTCTCCTCAGACCCATTCGCCGTAAGATTCTCATCATCCCCAGTCACTCTCACTACCTAGGCACCTAGTTTCCACTTTTCCTATAGGGAGCTCTGGTGGCCGAGTATTAAGAAGCTGTGCTGCAAACCCAAAGGCACGGGGTTCAAATCTCCCAGTTGCTCTTTGGGAGAAGGATGTGCAGTCTCTTCCCATTTGGTTTGTTGCTTCAGGAAACGTGATGGGAGGTCAAGTATGGCTAGGCTCCTACTCAAAGGTATAAATCAACAACAGGTGAAGTAGGAACCCGCTTAAATCCAAATTCTTAGACCGGGCCTTGGCATATAGTAGTTGCTCAGTAAGTCCTTGTTGAAGGAATGAATAATGGATGTGTATTTACAGCGGCTGGATGGCAGACAAACCTATGATTATAGAAACATCAAGATCTCCTTTGGAACGGATTATGGCTGCTGTATTGTGGAACTTGGGAAAACAAGGTAACAAAAATGCCTCAAATGAGATATAAGCTAAAAAGAGATTATCAAGAATTTTGACTCAGTTGTTTCAGAACAGCTGAAAGACCTGGATTGTTAGATGGCAAAAATAACTAATTTGCTTAAATGCAAGCTTTTTTCGATTTTGTAGCTACATCTTCTTTTTAATCATAAGAATTTTCGAGCACATTTTTCTTTCTGGCCTCCTGTGAGTTACATAGACAGCCATAAGTGTTTACATTAAATTTGGTTTTGGACACTGCAGTGCCCACCTTTCTTTCACATTCTAAATCCTGATCACATTCTCCTTTACTCAGTACCATTTCCCCCTTTTTTTTGCGCATAAAAATTAGTTTTTATGTTTACTTTTAAGTTGTGAGTATATTTGATCAGATAATCTTAGTAAACTAGGGCTGGAAGAAAGGCCTTGGCTTTCTGGTGGTTTGACCCCATCAGCTACTCTGCTGGAGAAAGACGGACATTTTCTCCAGTGTCATTTACAGCCTCTGAAAATCAGCTATGAGTCAGTTTCTGCTTGGCAGAAATGACACTGTGAAATTTTTAAGGAATCTCAAATTTTCGTGCTATCATCAGTTAGTAAGAAAAAAAGGAAAGGTATTTTACTTTTTTCCCTAGCAGTTTAAAAAAATCTGTGGTAGAGTGACTGATGTAATAAGAAAAGTGTGCTTGTGCAACAATGAATGCGAGGAAATCCAAAGTGTCTGAAAACTTTCATTCAAATTAATTAAAAGGAAAAATTTTTTTAAAGGATGCTTATGGGTTTTTAAAATTTTTATTTATTTGCTTTTGTTCTAATCCCTTTGACTCTACCAGTATATGTTTTCTTTTTGTATGTATTTTACTGCTGTTCCTGACTCTTAATTTTTGCATTTTTTGATACCTCATGGCTAGTATCATTACTTAAATGATAATGAATTGGTATCTTTTTAAAGTTTTAGTTCGTAATTGGAAAGGAAATTATCTTTATTGGAAAAAACAATTATTTAACACACTTTTACCCTTCTTTGCAGGGTTCTTGGGCAGGTTTCCTGTGAACTTGTTTCTCCAAAACCCAACAGGGCAACAGAAGGTATTCTTTTTTTTAACCTTGAGCTATCTCAAATGGCTGCCCCAGCTTTTGAACCTGGCAGGTATTTAAAACTTTTTCTTAAGCTGCTTTAATTAAACAGAAACCTAACAAGAGAGAACTTTTAAATACCATTTATTATAATTCATGACATAAGAACATTACTGTTTTCACAGGCAGTCAGATCTCTTGGTGAAGTTGAACCGACTCTTAGAAAGATGTCTAAGAAATTCCAAATGTATAGACACTGAATCTCTCTGTGTTGTTGCTGGTGAAAAGGTGAGCAAGTACTCAGTTTTTAATCTTAGGTTGGATTTTTTTTTTTTTTATGGAATGCCATATGTGTGTCTTTATTTTCAGATCTTTAATTAATTCAGTTTTACACTGGTTTTGGGTACTGAAAGTGCTTCTAAGAGTTCCACCAAGAGCCATTTATTACCACATTTAGCGGGGACACTATCATGTCTCTAACAGGAAACACTTCATTTGAATAATTTGTGCTTTTTTTCCATATCTTTTTACATTTATTTTCTTAAGTTATTCAAGTGCATTAATAGAAGCACATCATAATTTTACATTGATGGAGATCTAAGTGGATCCTTCATTTGACTATGTTTATTGATTTTCACCATTTAGGGCACAGGCTAGAAATCCTAGTGTCAATGAATTGTGCTGCATTATGGTTAGAACTTTATTGGTTTGTTTTTTTTTTTTTACAAAGTTTTAAAGTATTTTTTATTGAAGGTCATTTTATATACATTGTTAGTGAAATCAGTGTCCCTTCTTGTGCAAGTTATGACCATGTAGAACTTTATTCTTGATTAGAGTATTTTGATCAGCTTTTTTATAACAGAGAAATCATCTGTCCTTTCCCATGGACTGTGTCATATTTAGATATGGTATTTCCAGCTACTTGCATTATTTGTAAGGTTGTTGTTGTTGTTATGTGCCGTCGAGTCGTTTGCGACCCTATGCACAACAGTCCTAAACCCTGCTCTATCCTGTGCCAATCTCATTGCCCCTGACAAACCCATCCCGAGTACCCCAGTCACTGAATGAATCCACCTCATAGAGGATCTTCCCCTCCTGCGCTGTCCCTCCACTCTACCCAGCATGGTGTCCCTCTCGAAAGGCCTGTCTCTCCTTACAACATGTCCAAAATATGTCAGACGAAGCCCCAGAATCCTTGCCTCCAAGGAGCAGCCTGGTTTAATCCTCTCTACGATGAATCTGTTTGTTTTCTAAGGTTATCATAAATATTATCAAATAAAACCCAAGGGTTTGAGATTTTTAAATTAAGAGATGACTACAAAAATATAAGTTATCTTGAAGTGTGGAAAGTCTTAAAGATGGAGGACTTCTCTTTATTTAGACTATAGATTTAAGGTTGAGTATCTCACATAAAAGGTGAGCTGTTAATATTTCACATCCTTATCTAACTTAGGATTTTTTAAAAATACATTTTTATTGGGGAGCTCTGGTGGCCTAGTGGCAGGAAGCTGCACTGCAATCCCAGAGGCGCACAGTTCAAATCCACCAGAGGCTCTGCTGGAGAAGGAGGGGAAATCTCCTCCTGTACCAGTCAGCCAGTCAGCTATGATTTGACAGTACACACACACACACTCTAAAATAAAAGTTTAAAAAAAAATACATTTTTATTGATAAAGTAGAAAGGGTTAGTGTATGCTTTAATATGTTTATATGTATGTTTATTAATGCTTTAATAAACAGTTGTACACAGCATTGCTTTTCTTGATCAGAGCTGGTTTTGAACAGTTGGTATTTTTTGTTTTGTTTTCAAATATACTCTTAGGTTTGGCAAATACGTGTGGACTTACATTTATTAAATCATGATGGAAATATTATCGATGCTGCCAGCATTGCTGCAATTGTAGCTTTATGTCATTTCCGAAGACCTGATGTGTCAGTTCAAGGAGATGAAGTAACATTGGTAAGGCCCTGTGATGGGATCCAAGCCCCTTTGTGTGAATAAATAGAATCTTAGATGTGTAAATAGCTACTGTTAATGAGGTCAGGTTCTAAGTGAAAGTTAACTTCTAGAATTTGTTCAAAACACAAAAACTGCATATGGTTAAAATTACAGTTGAAATCTCTCTAAATCTTCTCTATTGCGATATTTGTCAGTATTTGTGTAGCCTAGCCACATGTGAGGAAGCTCTGGTGGCCTAGAGGTAAGAATTTGTGCTGCAGTCCTGCTCTGTGGGAAAAGGATGGGAAGTCTCCTCTTTTGCAATTATTGCCTCTAAAAACTCGCCAGAGGGTCAGCTATGGGTTGGTTTTAACTCAGTGGTACATGGTACACAACAACACGACAGCCACATATTCCAGAATAAAACTTTTAAACTGTTAGATGACTGTTCCTTTGAATTGAGCATTAGAAGAATTAGTTGACTTTGACTACAGGGCCACACTTGTGAAAAATGCAGTTTCCAACAGAGTGAGATTTTTACTTTATACAAGGCTTGCAGTAGCTAACATGGACTGAGAGATTAGCAGATTTGTATCTCTTTATGGTAGAAGTCATTGCCACAGTAAATCTGTCATAGAGTTTCCAGGTAATGCTGATCCTATTGGTCCATCAACCACGTTTGGAAAACCAACAATCTTTATGTTACAATCTCCTTCAGTGAAAGTGTTGTGTAGTGATCTTCTGAGTTTTAAAGTTGTGGGGGGAAAAGAAATTATCAGATAACCCAGATTCTCTAAGCAATCATGATGTTATTTATAGGCATTAGACTTGAACAAGTATTAAAGTCTTAGAGATGTAGGGACAAAAGGCTCATTAGCAGTAGAGATTTACAGTTTTAGAGGAGAGAGTTGGTATAAGGATGAAGGATAGCAGTTTAAAAATACTGTAAAGTTATTGCTGGTATGTAATTATGTTGGAGATGTTTGACAGGTTCTTAAAAAGTTAAATATAAACATACAGTCTAGCAGTTTCACACCTAAGAATATACTCAAAAGGAGTGAAAATATATAATAAAGATTTGCTTGTCAATATCAATGGCTGTACTGGTTATAATAGCCCCAGGTTAGAGATTGTTTAATGTCCATCAACCTGCCAAATACTGTACAATGGGATACTACTTAACAAGTAAATGGACTCATCTGCTGATTAGTAGGGAGCTCTGGTGGCCTAGTCTACACTGCCAACCTAAAGGCATTGGTTTGCATCCACCAGTAGCTCCAAGGGAGAAAGATGAGTAATTTCTCAGGTGATTTACAGCCTCTGAAAATGCACTATAGAGTCAGCTAAGGGTCAGCTCTGACTTAGTGGCATTGAGTTAATTGACATTGTACATCTCACTAAACGGAATTAATTGTGAGCCATTGCAATCCCATGTAATGAAGTAGATTTCCAGGCTGTGATCATTATAGAAGCAGACTACTGCATCTTTCTCCTACTGAGTAGTCTTGAATCTCTGAGTCCATCTAAACCACTGAGTTTTATATAAAATGTCCAGAAATTTTTGTACAGAAAAAGCACGTAAGTGATTACTTAGCCGACTGGAGATATAAAGGAGATAGAAATGAGTTTATAGTAATTTACTGCAGTAACATAACTGTTGAAAAACTGGATTTTGGTGATGCTCACACGTATATATAAGTTTATAAAAAATGGAATTATATGGTACCACCTAGTGACTATAACAGTGGGTTTGAGCATGGTGGAGAGTGAGGATGGCTCAGGAAAGGGCAAGGTTTCAATCTGTTCCTAGGGTTGCTGTGAGATGTGGTCAGTTCTGCATCTAACAACAGGAAAATATACTTCAGTAAGCATTTGAAAAAAAGGTTTTGAGGAATATGGAAGTAGTTACTTACGTATTCAATAAGGATTAAAGAAATTTTATTTTTAATATTTGGCGTGCAAGATGAATGTTTTTTATGTTTGTAACTTGGTCACTTGTAATTCTTGAACCCCCTCTTTGGACACAGTATACACCTGAAGAGCGTGATCCTGTACCCTTGAGCATCCACCACATGCCCATTTGTGTCAGTTTTGCCTTCTTCCAGCAAGGGTAAGTGTTAGCTTCTTGTAGGCAGTTAGATCTTGTTTGCTTCATTCTAATATTCTGTGGATAAATACGCACTTTGATGTCCTTGTAAAATTGTTATGTGCCCTCAAGTGGGTCCCCTTATAGCACACCTGTGCACAACAAAATAAAACACTGTCTACTCCTGTGCCATCATCACAGTCATTATGTTTGAGTCTTGTTGTGACCACTGCGTCAGTCAGTCTTCTGAGGATCATCCTCTTCCCTCCCTCCTCCACCTTCTACTTTGCCTAGCACGATGTCCTTCTTTGTGGACTGGTCCCTCTTAAAAACATATTCAAAGTATGGGAGATGAAGCTTTGCCATACTCTTTTCTAAGGGGCATTCTGGCTGTACTTCTTCCAAATATATTTGTTCTCTATTCTGGAGGTTCATGGTTGTTGTTGTTGTTATGGGTCGTCGAGTCGCTTGCAACTCATAGCGACCCTATGCACAACAGCCCTAAACTCTGCTGTGTCCTGTGCCATTCGCACTGCCTCTGACACACCCAACCTGATTACCCCAGTCACTGAATCAATCCACCTCATAGAGGGTTTTCCCCTCTTGCGCCGTCCGTCCACCCTTCCAAGCATGATGTCCCTCTCCAAGGACCTGTCCCTCTTTAGAATATGTCCAGAGTAGGTCAGGCGAAGCCCCAGAGTCTTTGCCTCCAAGGAGCAGCCTGATTTAACCCTCTCCAGGATGAATCTGTTTGTTTTCTTGGCAGTCCGTGGTACATTCAGTACTCTTCTCCAGCACCACAGCTCAAAGGCATCAATTCTCCTTCTGTCCTCCCTAGTCATTGTCCAACTCTCTGATGCATAACAAGTGATTGCAAAGACCATAGCCTGTATCAGATGTACCTTAATCTCCAGAGTGATTACCATTGCTCTTCAGTACCCTGGAGAGGTCCCTAACAGCTGACTTTCCCATGGCAGTACGTTTTTTGATTTCCTGGCTACTGGTGCCAAGAGTGTTGACCATGAAGCCAAGCAGACTAAAGTTGTTAACAATCTCAATCTCTTCACCATCCATTCTGATGCTGCCAATTGGCCCAGTGGTGAGAATCTTTGTCTTCTTGACATTCAGCCTCAATTCATGAAGGCAGCAGTCCTTGACCCTCTGCAGCAAGCATTTCAGGTCCTCCTCAGTTTCAGCAAGCAGGGTTGTGTCATCTGCATAACGCAGATTGTTAATATATCTTCCACCAATCCTGATGCCACACTTCTCCTCATAGAGCCCAGCCTCTCGGATAATCTGTTCTGCATACAGGTAGAAAAGGTATGGAGATAGTACACATCCCTGGCATATGCCTTTCCCAATTTTGAACCATGCAGTGTTTCCTTGTTGTATTCTGACGACTGCCTCTTGGTCCAAGTATAGGTTTCACATTACAATGATCAAGTGTTCTGGGATTCCCATTCTTCTCAGAGTCAGTACATGTGGTATTTTTTTTTCCTAACACCAGTCATCTTTAGTCCTTGTAGAGTTTTCATGTGCTTATAAGGCCATTGAAATACTGTGAATGGGTCAAGCACTTCTTGGTCATCAGAATGGCACCTAGCTTTTTAACATTTCAAAGTCTTTTTGCAACAGATTTGTTCAGTACATTTCTTTGTTTGATTTCTTGACTTTTACTTCCAAGGATGTTGATTGTGAATGCAAGTAAAAATGAAATCCTTGGCAACTTATCTGTGAAGAGTTTTCTTTTGTAATCCATACAGGAACACTAGGGAGTTTGTGGCTTTCTTTTGCCCCAAGTGGGTAGCCACAGAGCAGACTTGCTAGATGAATTAGGGGTCTCTGGCTCAGAGTTTGCCAGTGTTTGGGTGTGCCGGAAGGGTAAAATTCTTCTTTTTTTTTTTTTTAATGCTTAATTTAATAACCAGGGAAAAGGGGAGAACAGAGAGAATGCTGCAGCTTTATGTCCAGGAGGCTGAGCAGGTGAAGCGCCTTTAAAAGGACAATGTGTAAAAAAGAAAATAAAATACCAATTTGAAGGAAGAAACAAAAGCAATCAAAGCATGCTGTGAAGGACTTCTCCGAAGTAAAAAAAAGAAACCAACCAAACAAAAAGAAACAAGATGAGACAAAAACATGTGCCTGCAACACTCCCAAATCCACCTGGACAAGAACACCGGTGCGGTTGGGGAGACTAAGTAATCGAGTCTGCAGCACTGGATTTGGGGTGAAAACCGAACAAAAGGAAGGGTAAAATTCTGAAATGGATGGCCACGCCTGGAACATAAGGGCGAGTGTCTCTCCTGAGTCTCAGTGTCAGCTGGATGGATGAATGCGGCCTCGGCCACTGGAGTCTGGAAGGAGAGGCAAATCGGGAATGCTAGGGTGTTTGTGGCTTTCTTTTTGCCCCAAGTGTGTGGCCTCGTGACTAAAAGTGATGCTACCAAGCCGAAGGTGGGTTACTCTAATACACGGCCCCTCAGCCCAGTTTTCATTGTTTTTTGGTTAAACATTCTGCTAGGTCATATAGTCATGGTTTGTCCACTAGCTGTAGAGAGGTAACTTGTGGTTGCTGTGAAGCTGAACACTGTGACACTGATGTGTCAGATGCATTAATTGTTGGTTACCCAGTGTGGACAGTGTGGGGTGGAGCTCCCTGTTTACAACAAGCTTGGAAGCAGGAGTGGCATCCACTTCCATAAATAGCTTGCCTCCAGAAACCCTATGAACCTGGAGAAAGGATAAAAGTCCTTTTTATAGGACCTCCTATGCAATAAAACCCATTGGAGGGTCAGCTATGAGTCAATTCTGACTTGGTGGTACATAACAGCTTCTTTTAAGACCATTGCTGCTGTTGTGTGTGCCATAAAGAATGAACTGACCCAGCAGAACCTCCAGTGGGTTTTCAAAGGCAGGAGATTGCATGAGAGGAGATTGTCCATCCTTAACCTATGTAAGACCATTAGTTGGTAAAAAAACTTCCTCAATCTGCATGTTTCGAGGACTTTCGTTCATAGGGTCGCTGTGAGTCGCCTACAACTCAACGTCAGTTAACAACAACAAAAATCCATACTGAAGGCTGTAGTCTTTGATCTTCAGTAAATGCTTGGACATTTTCACCTGTAACAAGCAAGGCTGTTCATTTTTATATCATACGTTATATTAATGAGTTTTTCCCAATCCTGATGCCACATTCTTTATATAGTACAACTTGGATTATTTGCTCATACTATGACAAGTTTGGAAGCAGGAGTGGCATCCACTTCCTAAATAACATGCCTCTGGAAATCCTATGAACTTTGATAAATGTCGGTAGTTGTAGAAGGGCTTCAAGCCTTTTGTTCATAGGGTTGCTATGAGTCATGCTCGACTCAAAGGCAATCAACAACAACAAAAACATAGAGATTGAATAGGTACAGTAAAAAATGAAAGATTTTACATTACATATCCAGGTTCTTCATGAGTACAATGAATTGTTCTGGAATTCCCATTCTGCTTAGTGTTAATAATTTATTATATGATTCACATAATCAAATGTCTTTATAGTCAGTAACACATTTTGCTGTTCTCTGCTTTAAAGCAAGATCCATCAGACATCATCAGTGATGTACCTCATTCTGTGGTATCTTCCGAATCTAGCTTGAATTTCTTGAAGTTCTCTGTCATTGTACTGGTAGAGCCATTTTTTAGTGCTCTTCAGCAAGGTTTTACTTGCAGCTACTTGTTCTCATTTTGAGTCATGCCCCATTAACAAATGAAGGTCTTTTATGCTTTATCATTAAGATTGACTCTACTTTAAGAAAGTATCTCTTCACCAGTTGTGTTCTGAGTTCCTTATGTTAGGTGGTATTTCATGACTTTTGTAAGTATGTCATCAGCTCCTTCCTCATATTTTATTATAATCTGGAAATTCTGAAACCTGCTCACTGTGAATGATCCTGCTGACTTTTGGAATACTGATGTGATAGTTCCCAGCATTATACCAACACTCAGGCCACGACAGATGGATAGTTGTTATGTGCCGTTGAGTCGCCTGTGACTCATAGTGACCCTGTGTACAAAAGCTCTGAATCCTGCCCTATCCTGTGTCAATCTTATCGCCTGTTGACACATGCACCCCCATTATTCCAGTCAATGAATCAATCCATCTTATCAAGCATCTTTCTCTTTTGCCATGTCCCTCCAACCTTCCAAGCATGTTGTCCCTCTTCAGGAAATGGTCCCTCCTTGCAACATGTCCCGAGTGTGTTAGATGGAGCTTCAGAATCCTTACCTCCAAGGAGTAGCCTGGTTCCACCTTCTTCAGGACAAACCTGTTTGTTGTTCTTACAAGCCCATGGTAGGTATATTCAGTACTCTTCTCCAGCACCACAACTCAAAGATATCAATTCTGTTTCTATCATCCCTAGTCATTTTTCAAGTCTCTGATGCATAGACGTAATTGCAAAGACCATGATCTGAATCACATGCTCCTTAGTCTCCAGACTGACATGATTGTTCTTCAGTACTCTGGAGAGGTCTCTGACAGCAGAGTTTCCTAATGCAATTAATCTCTGCATTTCCTGGCTGCCGGTACCAGGAGTGTTGATTGTGGAGCCGAGCAAACTGAAGCAGTTAACAATCTCAATCTCTTCACCCTCTGTCATAATGCTGCCGATCGGCCCAGTTGTAAGACTTGTCTTCTTGATGTTGAGCCTCAATCCATATTGAAGGCTGCAGTCCTTGACCTGCAGCAGGCAGTTCAGGTCCTCTTCAGTTTCAGCAAGCAGGGTTGTGTCATTTGCATAACAAAGGTTGCTGATGAGTCCTCCTCCAATCCTGATGCTACATTCCTCCTCATAGAGCCCAGCCTCCTAAATGATCTGTTCTGCATATAGATTGAAAAGGTACGGAGGTAGGACATATCCCTGGTGTACACTTTTCCGTGCTCTGTTCTGATGACTGCCTCCTGGAAATTTCCCTTCTTTGGGAAGATCTCTGGTAGCTGAGTGGTAATCTGTTCTGATGACTGTCTCCTGGAAATT